CTCCTGACCTCCAGTGATCCTCCCACCTCGGCCTCCCTGAGTGCTGGGATGGCAGGCCCCAGAATGGGTTTTAACCCTTTGCACTCACTTGCTTTTTATTCCCCGATTCCTTCATTCTACTCGGGATTTAATTTTTTTTGAACAGCCCAGATTTGACAAAGTGCGGCGGTAGCATAAAATACTAGAGTTTCTTTTCTTTTATTTTTTATTTTACTTTATTTTTTATTTTATTATTTATTTTATTTTTCACTTTTATTTTATTGTAGTTACTTTTATTTACTGTTTTTTATTTTATTTTATATTTTATTTTTCATTTACTTTTACTTTATTGTATTTATTTTTATTTTATTTATGTTTTTATTTTATTTTTATTTTCTACTTTTATTTTATTGTATTTTAGTTATTTATATATGTATTTTTACACATTTATTTATATATTTATTTTACATATTTATTTATATATATATATCATTTATGTATTTATTTATATATGTACTTTTATTGTATTTACTTTCATTCATTTTACTATTTATTTTCTTTATGTCTTTTGCTGTGTTTTCTTATCTCATGTTTTATTTTGTGTGTGCGTGGCGCGGGCGGGCGGGCTGCGCGTGTCCCCGTCCCTGCCGGGCTCTGCAGGCACACTGATTTATCTGGATTTTTTTTTATTCATTTTTGTTATGTTTCCGATTGTCGAGACAGCCGGGGAGAGGGGTTCCGGCCTCCATGATCTCCGCAAGCGGCCGGGTGACAGTGGCCGCCGAGCGGGAAGGGCCAGGGGCCAGGACACAATAGCCGCCGGGGCTGTCCCCGTCCCCGACACACCCGTGCTTCTAGCGGGCGGCGGCCGGAGGGCGGCAAAGAACCGCGCACACACAGTCCCCGTGCCCATGGGCACCCGGGCCGCCGTGACAGTCCCAGCTCCGGCTGGTGGCACTTCTTTTATTCTTTATGTGTTTCCTGCCCTGTGTCAGGGCCGCGGCCCTGTCGCCGGGACTGCGGCCCGTCTGGCCTCTGCTGGGCACGGCTGACTGTGGAAGGCTGCTCTCAAGTGGGTCCGTGCGCCAGGTGTCACCCCCGGCACGCTGGGCATTCGCACAGCGTCGCCAAAGTGGCAGCCAGAGCTGCGGGCCGTGCAGGCCGGGCACGGGCCGTGATGGGCCGTAGCAGGGGCCAGGTGGCTGTCCCCCCTGAACAGCCGCTCGCCCGGTCTGTCCCGTCCCTGGGGACCTCGGGACGCGGGCACCCCCCGGGCGCCGCGGCGGGGCGCTCAGTATGGCACAAGGCCGCAGAGTCTGCACACGGCCGCAGGGAACCGGGCTCGGCCTGGGCTGCCCCGGTCTCAGCCAAGAGAAGGACGGGCTTCTCTCTCTTTCCTTTTTCTTTTTTTTTTTTATCCTTCCCAATTTCCACCGTTTTCAAAGGCATTTCTGATGACAAACAAAAAATTAAAAAAAAACAAAAAACTTCATGATCAACAATTAACCCCCCCCCAAAAAAAAATAAAATAGAAATAAAACGACAAGTGACTGATGACATTTGCAAGAGTTGCAGGGGTTAGCATGGCACTGTAAAACTTCATTATATTAAAATAAGAAGAAAATAAAATAAGATTTCATTGATTTTCTTTTCTCTTTTTTAAATTTTAACTCAAAACATTCATGCCTGAATGGAGGCTTGTTTTTTAGCAAAAAGGCATGAGATGCTGTATCTTTATTTTTGTGTTGTTTAACTTTTTATTTATTTATTTATTTTGAGCCAGGTCTCGCTTTGTCAGCTCGGGCTAGGCGAGCGCCGTGGCGTCGCAGCCTTGCCACAGCGGCCCAACTCTGCCTCAAGCACCTCCTGCCTCGCTTCCCTCCCGATAGCTGGGACGACGCATGCGCCGCTCGCGCTGGCTACATTTTTTTTTTTTTTTTTGGCAATTGAATGTGCCCTCAGATCATTTTTTATATATATATTATTTAGTTGGCAATTAATTTCTTCCTATTTTAGTAGAGACGGCGGTCTCGCTCCTTGATCGGCTGGGTCCAAACTCTGCCCGAGCGAGCCTCCTGCTGCGGCCCCCTCCACATAGCTGGGACGTACCGCCATGGCGCCACCGACGCCCGCTCGTTTGTATCTCTTATAGTTTTAATTGTCGGCTCGTTTCTTTCTTTTTGAGGGGAGTAGAGACGGCGGGTCTCGCTCTTGCTCAGGGCTGGCCTTCGGAACCCTGGCCGTCGGAGCGATCCTTCAACTCGGCCTTCCTCCCAGTGCTGGATTATAAGGCGTGAGCCACCGCGCCCGCCTGAGCTATTTCTTGGAAAAAAAAAAATCTGTCATGATCAACAAATTAAAGGAAAAAAATAAAATAGAGCAAGCAAGTTCTAGAATGAATTTGCAAGAGCGGTTTGTAGGCTTTTTTTAAAAAAAGGCATGAGATGATGTATCTTTAAATGTAACTCATCTCAAAGACTTATCCTTAGAAAAAGCACGAAGGGCCGGGCGCGGAGGCTCACGCCTGTCATCCCAGCGCTCTGGGAGGCCGAGGTGGGAGGACCGCTTGAGGTCGGGAGTCGGAGGCCAGCCTGAGCAAGAGCGAGACCCCATCTCTACTAAAAAAATAAAAAGAAAGAAATGACCTGGACAACTAAAAATATAGAGAGAAAAAATTAGCCAGGTGTGGTAGTACATTCTTTCAATAGAGTTACTTGGGAGGCCGAGACCAGAGGCTCGCTCGAGGTCAGAAGTTCAAGACCAGCCTGAGCAAGAGCGAGACCCCGTCTCTACTAAATATAGAAAGAAATTAGCTGGACAACTAAAAATATATATAGAAAAAATTAGCCGGGCGTGGTGGTAAGTTCCTGTAGGCCCAGCTACTTGGGAGGCCGAGGCAAGAGGATCGCTCGAGGTCGGGAGTCTGAGACCAGCCTGAGCAAGAGCGAGGCCCCATCTCTACTAAAAAAAAAATAGAAATAAATTAATTGGCCAATTGAAAATATATATAGAGAAAAAATGAGCCGGGCGTGGTGGTGCGTGCCTGTAGTCCCAGCTACTCGGGAGGAGGCTGAGGCAGGAGGATCGCTCAAGCTCAGGATTTCGGGACTCCCGTCTCTACTAAAAAAAAAATAGAAAGAAATCAGTTGGACAACTGAAAATACACATAGAAAAAAAAAAACGAGCCGGGCGTGGTGGCGCATGCCTGTAGTCCCAGTCTCTCGGGAGGGAGGCTGACGCAAGAGGCTCGCTCGAGGCCAGGAATTGGAGGCTGCTGTGAGCGAGGCTGACGCCTCAACACTCTAGCCTGGGCGACAGAGCCAGACTCTGCCTCAAAAAAAAAAAAATTATCCGGGCGTGGTGGCGCATGCCTGTAGTCCCAGCTACTGGGAAGGCTCACGCAGGAGGATGGCTGGAGGCCAGGAGTCGGAGGCTGCTGTGAGCGAGGCTGACGCCACGGCGCTCTAGCCCGGGCGACAGAGCGAGGCTGTGTGTCAAAAAAAAAAAAACAACAGAGAGAAGAGAGTGTGCACTTTGACCCCCCCGAGTCCCAGGAGGAAAATCACTGATACATTTAATGCATCCGGCTAGCAAGACAGCACGGTGTCGTTGTTTTTACCCAACACGGCCTCACTAAGGCCGGAAGGGAAGCCCGGCTCTCGGCACCGCCCTGTGGCGGAAGTGAGGTTTGTTCTAGAATGGAACTATGCCAGAGGCTGCCACATTCTACAGCAGCAACAGAAAAGGGACCAATTAGAGACCCATTATACAGCCGGGCGCGGAGGCTCACGCCTGTCGTCCCGGCGCTCTGGGAGGCCGAGGCGGGAGGATCACTCGAGAGGTCAGGAGTTCGAGGCCAGCCTGAGCAAGAGTGAGACCCCTGTGTCTACTATAAATAGAAAGAAATGAGCTGGACAACTAATAGATATAGAGAAAAATGAGCCGGGCGTGGTGGCGCATGCCTGTAGTCCCAGCTACTTGGGAGGGAGGCAGGGGAGGGAGGATCGCTCGAGGTCAGGAGTTGGAGGCCAGCCTGAGCAAGAGCGAGAGCCCGTCTCTACTAAAAATAGAAAGAAATTAATTGGTCAACTAATATATAATATATAGAAAAATCAGCAGTGGGTGGTGGCGCATGCCTGTAGTCCCAGCTACTCAGGAGGGAGGCCGAGGCGGGAGGATCGCTAGAGGTCAGGAGTTGGAGGCCAGCCTGAGCAAGAGCGAGACCCCGTCTCTACTAAAAAATAATAGAAAGAAATTACTTGACAAACTAAAAATACATACAAAAAAAAATAATTAGCGGAGCGTGGTGGCGCATGCCTGTAGTCCTAGCACTCTGGGAGGCCAAGGTGGGAGGCTCGCTCGAGGTCAGGAGTTGGAGGCCGGCCTGAGCAAGAGCGAGACCCCATCTCTACTATAAATAGAAAAAAATTAATTGGTCAACTAATCTATAATATATAGAAAAATCAGCAGCGGGTGGTGGCGCATGCCTGTAGTCCCAGCTACTCGGGAGGGAGGCCAAGGCAGGAGGATCGCTAGAGGTCAGGAGTCCGAGTCCGGCCTGAGCAAGAGTGAGACCCCGTCTCCACTAAATATAGAAAGAAATGAATTGGACTAGTAAACATATATAGAAAAAAAAAAAATGAGCCGGGCGTGGTGGCGCATGCCTGGAGTCCCAGCTACTTGGGAGGAGGCCGAGGCGGGAGGCTCGCTCGAGGTCAGGAGTTCGAAACCAGCCTGAGCAAGAGCGAGACCCCGGACTCTAGTAAAAACAGGAACAAATGCGCCAAACAACTAAAGAAATAAAAATGTAAATAAATAAAACCAAGAACCGGCTGGCTCCGTGCGCGCGGCCGGTGGCGAGGCTGGGTTTGCGGGACGCGGGGAGGCCGGGTCTCCGGGCGAGATCGGGCCCCGGGCGTGGGCACCGTCCCCTCCTCCCCGAGGAGCTGGGGGGAGCGGGCGTTTGGGGACATGGCCTCTGGGACCCGGCCCCGCGGCAGGCCGCGAGGACCGGGCCTTACCTTCTTCTCCACGTGCCCCAGCTGCTCCCTGTGGAAGGCCACTCGGCGCTCCAGCTCTGTGGGCGGCTGGGGACAGAAAACGGAGGCCGCGTTAGCCGGGGGCGGGAAGGGGGCGGGGGAGCCGGGCTGGCCACGCAGGCAGGGGACGATCACAGTAAGAGTGGCAGTTAGAGGCCGGGCGCGGAGGCTCAGGCCTGACATTTTAGCACTCTGGGAGGCCGAGGCGGGAGGGATCGTCGAGTCGGGATTGGAGGCCAGCGCTGAGCAGAGCGAGACCCTGTCCTCTTCTAAAAATAGAAGAAATTAGTCGGACAACTAAAAATATATAGAAAATATTAATCGGGTTTGGTGGCGTACGTCTGTAGTCCCAGGTATTTGGGAGGCTGAGGCAGGAGGATCGCTCGAGGTTGGGGAGTTGGAGGCCAGCCTGAGCAAGAGCGAGACCCCGTCTCTACTAAAAAAAGAAAGAAATGAGCTGGACAACTAAAAATATATAGAAAGAAAAAATTAGCCGGGCGCGGAGGCTCACGCCTGTCATCCCAGCACTCTGGGAGCGCGAGGAGGGAGGATCGCTCAAGGTCAGAAGTTGGGAGGCCAGCCTGAGCAAGAGCGAGACCCCGTCTCTACTAAAGAAAATAGAAAGAAACGAGCCGGACAACTGAAACTATATAGAAAAAATGAGCCGGGCGTGGTGGCGCATGCCTGTAGTCCCAGCTACTCGGGTGGAGGCTGAGGCAAAGGATCACTCGAGGCCGAAATTCAAGGCCAGCCTGAGCAAGAGCGAGACCCCGTCTCTACTAAAAAAAAAAATAAAATAAAATAGAAAGAATGAGCTGGACAACTAAAAATATATAAAGAGAAAAAAATTAGCTCTTGCTCAGGCTGGCCTCCAACTCCTGACCTCGAGCGATCCTCCCTCCTCGGCCTCCCAGAGTGCTAAGATGACAGGCGTGAGCCTCCGCGCCCGGCCTCTCTTTTTCTTCTTGCAGATTTCCCCCTTACCTGGAGAACACACAACTAGGAGTGTCTGGGCTCTCCAGGCAGCTGCGGGAAATCTAAAAATGCCAGGGAGAATTCTGGAATGCCAACACTTCAGAAAAGCTAAACACAAACAGTGGGCCCGAATGCCAAGGATTCCTCTCGGGTTGTTTTTTTTTTCTTTTTTGAAGCAGAGTCTCCTCTGTCGGCGGGCT